AAAAGTCACCAATATAATTTTATAGAATTTGGAAATATTTGGATGAAGAATGGTAAAAAGGTCTAGAAACTATCAACTATCTCGTCATCTTTAACAATGAAGCAAAATTCATTTGACGCTCTGTCCACACAGTCCATAGGAAAACATTTCCATGACGTTCGTCAATTGACCTCGTTTTTATCCGTTTTTGTGTGTAAACAAGAATGAAAGAAAACGCAGGACCGTAGCATGATTTCAAAATCATGCATGGTTTCAAGGTCTGCATGCATTTCATCGTGACCTTTTATATCAATTTTAAGCTTTATTAATTTTAAGCGGCTACATTATCCATGACAAACTGCAAAGAATGAAGATAGTACCGACAGTTTCCTGCAAACTTCCTAATTTTCGCCTCTCACTTCTCGGTAACGAAATCATTCCTGTAACAAGCGCCAAAGATCTCGGCGTAATCTTGGACTCTGGTATGACGTTCGACAGTCATGTACAAGCCACTATCTCCTCATGTATGTCTCGTTTAGGTCAAATAAACCGTGTGAAACATTGCTTTGACAAACACACATTAACAATTATTATTAACTCTCTAGTTTTTTCAAAATTATATTATTGCTCTACAGTCTGGAGCAACACTTCTCAAACAAATTTAAATAAGGTACAGGTAGTGCAGAACTTTGCATGTCGAATAGTTAGCGGAGTTGGCAAATACGATCATGTCACACCAATCCTGCAAGAACTAAAGTGGCTTCCTGTTCGACAGTATTTATATTTTCGTGATGCAGTCATGGCATTTAAATGCATAACAGGAAACGCACCTGCATACCTAACTGAACAGTTTGTGAGACGAGGTGACATTTCATCTCGCGTTACTAGGAACTCGAGCATGATTGAAACTCCTTTACACAGAACAGCAACCGGGCAACGATCTTTCAAATTCAGAATGGCCACAATTTGGAATTCGTTAAAACCAGAACTTAGGGCCTGCGAAACAACGAAAGACTTTAAACATATTTTAAAACAGAGACTTGTAGAAACATTTAAATTTAGGACCAATCTTAAGACATTTTGATGTAAATAGCATATATATTTGTGTAGTACTACCAAGTGTGTGTGTGTGTGTGTGTGTGTGTTGTGTGACTGTGTGTTGGTATGTGTGTCTCTCTATTATTACAGTGTATAAAAATTTAGATCAATTATGTAAAATTTCGCTGAAAAGCCTTTTAAGGGATGTGAAATTAAAATACAATAACAATAACTTATCCTAGTTATCCAATATATAGTTAATTAAATACGTGTTCGCCCATTTAGTACTACCAAATTGTCAATTTCGACATACTAAAACGCTGTTTTCTGACCATCAGAATTCTGTCAAATCTTCCCCAAAATCCAGGAAATGGCATTTCAGAGACTCTAGATTTAAAAATTTCCTCGGGCCGAAGGCCCTCGCTTTCAGCCCCCAATAAAAAAGAGCTTCCTATGGCCCTGAAACGCTACGGAAACGACACTGTGTGGATTATTAATAGTTAGGATGGGGCAAAAAAATTTTTCAGTAAAAAAATAGGGGGTCATAATTTTTTATCAACTTTTCTCTTGGGGGTTCCAAGTTTTAGCATGGAATTAGACATCAGTTCATCCGGCCCACCCCCGCTAAAAAATGAATGCTCCCTTAAATAAATAATTTCTCCGACGATATATAAGAACATAAGATATTTTCTCTATTGGCGTATTGCCCCGTATTTTAGTTTCAAAGCACACTTAAACAAACGACATATCATTTACATTTTCCGCGCTTGCTTTTCTACCTCTTGTCGTTATTCGCCTTATTCGGTCCTGATTGAAACTTTCAATGGCGTTTCTTTTGACATATTTTTATACATTTGCAATTTTGCGACCAAACAATATAAACATAGTTTGACAGTTTGATTATTAATATATTTAGTGTTTGCTGATTGGCTAATTGGACCCGGACAAAAAAGTGGGCGGTTATCAAATTACACTGCCAAACCCAGCAGGCGGTATTTTAGACCGCCTGCTATGCAGGCTAGATGAACCGTAGCCTGTGTGGCAGGCCCTCAGTTTTATGGGGGGCCTGATTTGCAATGGGCAGGATTTTGGCGGGCACGGGGGAGGAATCAGGCCCCCCATAAAACTGAGGGCCTGCCACGCTGGCCAGATGAACCGACAATCTTAAAAGGCCGTCTAGCAATAGTAGTCATCCGTGCAAATATTCATCTTCTTTAATATATATCCGCACCTCAAAATATTGTCAATTTTTCTTCTCCAGTGCAGTAGAGTCAAAAATATGGAAAATTGCTTAAAACCTGGTGTGCACCTGAACAAAACATACCGGTATTTTTCCAAAAACGTGAGAATTTTATGTAAACAATGTCACATATTCCATTAATTAATTGCCAAATTAACCTGATGTTTGCTGCTACAAAAACAATCAAGCTTTAAGGTTGGATGCAAATGGTAATAAATAGATCTTGTATAATAGACTGATCGACTTGATTCCCTCTACTCTGCACATTTCAATATTTGCCATATTTTATAGCATATTTGCACTTTATATTATTTGCAGTAGACTGTGTGTAGTCTGTATGTTTTGTTCCTTATGCTGAAACCTCTAAAATAGAAAATAATAAAAGAAAACAACTTACAATTTGTGAAAACACTGCGCAGATTCAACCTGAAGTATTTGAATAAGTTCAATAGTCGTATCTCCTTGCATTGTCACTCCTTGGCTTGCCGCCATTTTGTAGACATTTGAATGATGGCTTGAGCTATAGCAAATAAAAAATATGCGAAATACGTGTATGTTTTGTCGAAACAAGACGCCTTTTATTTTTAGCTTGGACATTTTATAAATAAAATTCTGTGTACATTTCTTGTCAAATTTAAACATGGCAGTACCCACGAATGCTATAAAAGAAGCGAACGAACAAATCTCACTTATGCATTCTAAGATGCAGGAAATGGAACAAGAAATTAAAGATTTAAATAAGAAATTAGCGGCGAGTGATGCAGAAGACGGCAAGATACAAATACAGCAAGTTGTAAACAAGAAAGACACAGAAATTCAAGGACTACGGGCAGAGTTACGTACTGCAAATGAAAGAATAAGTACCTTAGAACAAGATATGTTAGACAACGAGGTTCAAATGGAAAAACTACAAAGCAAAAGTAAAATCTTAGATGAAATTATTGGGTTTCGTGGCTCACTAGAAGGATTATTGTCTTATTTTAAGATCGTGCAAGAAATGGATATTAATAGAAATGACGTAAACGGTAATCTACGAGAAACAGAGATTACTGATGGATATCAAAGTGATGATGAACATATTAGCAAAACTAGTGTTGTCGTTAATGGCCGTCCTGATGATACTGCAACAACTGAGCTTGTTGACCATGTTTAGAAATGTCGCAAAACAAATTCCGATGAAGATGCATAAAACTATTGTAGATATTATGGTCTGACATAATGAGCTTATTTTTAATACTTGTCTAGAAATGAAACTAACTTACTGATGCATTCAACAAACATTTGACCATAAGTTTAAAGCCTCTTTTCCATTAATCACAAGACCATTGTTTTCATCCAATCGCAATGATTGACAGTTTGGTTTAAAGGGGCAGTGTCACATTCTACTGTTCTAATTAATTAAGTTAGGAGTGAAATATACGATATACTATTTATAATCCCTTCGTTATGCAGGACATCCTTGCTTTGTTTTAAAAATTGAAGGCTGCTGCATCTTTTCCAATCATGTGGCATTAATTTTAAACGTTTCTTTGCACTATTTATTTTAGCCAATCAGCGCCGTGACATTGCCCCTTTAAGTACAAGCATGAGTGGAAAAGAGCCTTAAAATGCAAAATACAATTGTTAGACTAATTTTGATCCACTTAGTAATATTGCCTAAGACTTGCCTGTTGATAGTTCAAATTGTCTGGCATTAGAAAGAGTAAAATAGTAACATATTGGTCATTGGAGCATAATACATGTTAGTAAAAAAGAGAAATGGACAGATTAACTGAGAGTCCAAGCTTGAGTTGAAAACAAATCTAGGGGTGTGGGTACCAAATAGTTTCCAAGGGCACATTAAGAGACAGTCAGGGTAATGTAATTTAGAAAATTGTTTCTATCAAGTACTTCCCAGGGGTGCTGAAACCCACCAACTCTGGATAACATGTTGCGATTATGACAGTAGGCTTATGACCATTTTAGAAAAATGCTGATCATCTTACTTGACCAACTGAGAATATTCCTAATTAGTGTAAGAAATGTACTTATAATATTTAATGATTGCACATGTATCACAAATACGTAGATATTAATTCCAATGTTTTACATCAGTGGTGTAACCTCTAATCACTGCCTCTAAATGCCCTAATGAATTACTGTGACTACCTTGTTATATATAGGAAATTAACAATGCACTTTACTATTGCTGTAATTTGCATCATAATTAATTCCCTGTGAGGTAGCCAACTCTACAGGCAACTGGGTGGGGAAAACAGCAGAATTATGCAAGAAATTCCAAAACACTTGTGGAGAGTTTGGAGGAGTTCCCAACTGCACAATTATCCCTCACAATCCCCTGTTACCCTCATCTTTATCTGTGAAGTATTGCTATAATTATATAATTCTGCCTTTTTGCCACCAAGTTGCCTGTGGAGGAGGCTATAGCGTGACAGAGAATGATAATCCATAAATTAAAATTCTATCATAATGAGTCAGAACTCAAAGTTACCCAGACAACCACAATTACCCATCCAAATGTAATAGTATTTTACAATGTATCAAATTCAGTGTTGCTAAAAGCAAGACGTTAGTAATGGAATGAGTAATTTTTTGGAAATTATTTACTTGCTGTACAAAAGTAATTTGAACGTAAATTTTAAGGTGACGAGTAACATTTTGAAGAAAGTAATTTTTTGCAATTAGTTTAGTGTATTTTTTATTCTTTTCATACCTTACCAATTCTGGAAACTTCAGAAGGAAATGGCTTTGAAGTTGAACGCCTGTTCAGCTGTCGAGGGTTGATCGGTCATGCCACTTCACAGAAATTGCCTTACTTTGTAAACTAGTAATTTGTAGCCAATCAAGCTTTCTCGTGTAAAATGAATAATTTACAACGTATTTTAATAATTACATTGAGTTGTTACTTCAGAACACTTTTCTCTCAACTTGCTTCGTGCAAGCGTTTCTTCTAAACTTCGTTCAAGTCAAGTCTTTCTCATGAGTCATGTATTAATAAATGAATACTTCATATTTTACAGAATTTGATGAATAATTGTATCGCCATGCACACAACATGTACATTTACTTCAGAACGTGTTTTACTGAATTTCAAAAAATTGAATCACTTCAGGCCAATCTTTCTCATCCCACTCTCCATTCTCAAAAACATTGGAAGGACTTTTCTTCCAGTCCCAACGTTTGATTGGTTCAGCCCAAGATTTCCCGTAATTTGCTTCGATATAAGATATAGTCTTACATGGAACTCGCACTTTCATTCCCAGAAATTCTGTCCAACATAAGGAAAAGTTTGGAAATATGTATCTACAAAAACAATGAAAGTAGATTAAATACTTGTGGTGATAAAATTCGTATGTACCTTCCATTTCTGAGACTGGGGTTCGCTCCCTTTTGTTGATTGCATGAGAGAAAAGTACTCTGACTCTAGCAAACAGGGCTGGTTCTTTTTGTATTCCGTCTCCTTTCTGTAGTAACACTAAACCAATAAAAGATTATTTTTACTGTACATGTATATACAATGTACATATAACGTCGGTTTCACATTATAATAATCCGGAAAAACTCAGAGATTTGTAATCGAAAATACTTTCCCCTATCTAATCTCGAATTTATAAAAGCAAGTTTTAACATCCGAAATAACACGCCGCGATCTATACTTATTTAAAAACTAGGAATGATATAACATTTATAATATAGCATTTGTAAATTCTGAACGCTGATTGGCTAAGAGCCGTGTTGATATACTCAATCAGCGTTGCCAGATTAAATTTGTAAATGTTTATGCAGACAAGTATGAAATGTTCATGACTTTGACAAAAAGTTCATTAATTTCAAATTTTAATTTTGGAAGATGGAAGAGGTGTCAAATGGCTATGTAACTAACCCAAACCCTACCCTTACTCTAACCCCTAATCCTAACCTCAACCCTAACCGTGTAACCCAAACCGAATTAATATAAAAATCCAAAAAGAAACGACTTCAAAAAATCGATAGGGCAGTTTGCTGGATGGAAAATAGTGATAATCACTTTGTATTTGCAGATGAGCAACTACATATTGTATTATACGAATTACAACCATGTTAGAACCACTGACCATTTCATCCAGGAGACTCGGAATATTAGAGAATGAGAGATAAGATAATATTCACAAATATATAAATTATTTTAAAAAATTAATCCTTAACGGCGAAATTGTTGTAATTTATATTACAACATTTATCTTGAGGGAGTGTAATAATCAAAGTTCATGAAATAGTTCATGTTATTTTGAAAAGTTCATAAAATGTTCACAAACTCGTGTTGTTCATAAAATGTTCATGTCGAGGACAAAAAGTTCACAAAACTGTGAACTTTGTTCATGATCTGGCAACACTGAACTCAATGTCAACATGGAAACGTCGGAAAATTTCTTTCTTTATATTTCTTTGTGCCATTTTTTTTCCGTATTGATCACACAATTTCTCGTTTTCCCAATTTCCACTCGTGTTGATATAACTGTATGTCAACACGGAAAATGTTTTATATTTGTTAATTGTAACAAAATTATTAAGCATTGACCAATCAGATGTCGGATGCACCACAATACATCGGATATACCTGATGTTTCATGCCAATCGGATAGCTTTACTACAGCATGTATCTAATCTTACAGATTAATAATGGTTTAATAATGGTTTAATAAGGATTGTGAAATAAATAAGATTGTGACATTAGATAGCTTAAGATCTACGACGTCGACGTCAGCTAGGACGTCAGGGCTATGCAGAGGACTGGGACTAGGATGTCGTCCTAATATAGTCCCAGTCCTCTGCTTAGCCCTGACGTCCTAGCTAACGTCGACGTCGTAGATCTTAAGCAATCTAATACACACAAATGACGACTCACATATTTTTTATTGTGCATTGCAATTGGGATTATTATACTGCGATGTAGTGAGACTGAGAGATCCTCAGTCAGGACATCCAATGATAATCTATTACTAGGCCCACCTGAATAAACGCCTGTTCGCAGGCTAATGATAATCTGGCTGACGAACCGATCTACCTTGATATATAATCATAACCGTTATTTTACTCACTTAAATTTCTTTCCAGTTTTCGCCTGTGTCCCTCCATTCCACATGTAAGTACCTTCTTCATAAAAGAAGAAAATATCTAACTTGATATCATCAATTGTTTTAAACGACATCTGGAAACTGTCTTCAACCTGAAAATAAACATGATGTGTTTTCAAAACGTCATAAACAACAAATGTCTCCGCCAGTCTAGGTACTTTATAGAATAGTCAATATTTAATTAATATTTATGTCGGAAAAAAATTATGTTTCTCGGAAAAATGCTGCACCCCTGTCGAAACGTCGAAATTCTCCATATATTTTCAGGTAGTTGCATCCTACCAATGAAAGCTCGATATAAATGACAACTGCATACATTTGACTTTTACCCTTCCAAATAAATGTTCCAAATATAATCCATTGTTTTGAAACTCATCAATCAATTGTTTATTATAATCTTTGATCCACATCCCAATATCCATGTCTTTACCATGAGATATCACACTGCACTGACGGAACCAACCTAGAAATAGTATGAATAACGAAGTATTAAAATCGTTATATATGCTATTAGGTTGTACTCGCATTGCCTGCTCATACTGTAACTTGTCGACAACTTCTTCTTGCAGAGCACGGCAGACGATATACACCAGACTTGCGACAAGGTTGGTTGTTCCGATAAGCTGATATCGTGGTCACAGTACTTGGCCCCAGCTTATTGAATATATTTTCAACTTACATGGATGGTGACTCAACAGAATTGATACAAGTTATAGCAGCAACAGAACTGATACAAGTTATTGCTAAATATAAGTCAAAACAACGATGGCATGAAGAACAGTGGGATTGTTGTAACAATGAAAAAACAATGGAACATAAGTCATGGGTGTCAGATGTTGCTTGGGATCCGAGGAAACCGCGTTATCTGCAAGTGACTGGAGCTAAATGCAAACCTGAATCAGAAGGTATTGTGCGTGCTATTATAGTAGAAAATATCAATTTTGCCCAGTATCTCTTGCAATATTTACCGACAAGATTTAATAGGAAACAGGTGTCTCTTTTCTATAACATTCTCTCTTTTCTATATGTTCACACTTTGTATGGTTTGACTATTTTTATATTTTGCGTCCAAATTATATTTATCAAATCTTAAGACGTCAAGCTCTGAGTCAAGTGTTTCCTATTGCCAAAAATCGGGTTTCTCAGGCCCAGTTGCTCATAACGTTTCCCTTGGTGGCCCGGTCCCCCGTCTCAACTCGTAAGCTATGGATCCTCAACCTTGCTATGCATGGGTTCCCAACCTGCTTCAGCTGCACGCCTTGCTTGCAGGACTAACTTGCAAATTACTTTCGGTCACCTGAACAGGCATGAAATAGGTTACTTACTCACCTAAACATGTTCCGCTGCTGAGCCAGAATCTCACTCCTAGATTGTCTAAAATAATCTTTGCAATTTGAAGAACTTCTTTCCCGCGTTTTCTGAACATCCCCGCCTTCTCTGTTCCATCGTCACCATATTTGGAATAAAATTCTCTGGCTCTCTTCATGTCGCATGGTAAATATCGAGAATTTTCCAAGTTTTCTAAGAATTCACTAATGTCTGAAGGTAATCTGATTGTGCGATCGTCAATTGTTGAGATATCAAGAGAAAAACTGTAAAAATCAAAATTCTTTAGTTAGAAATACAGCCTGCAAGACAGGCTCTGCACATTGGTGAGTGCCAACTAATTGTTAATTGTTAAAGAACTTCTAGAGTATTAAAGGCGCGATGTGGGCGCAGCGACCGCAAAGCGCGAGTACGCGATATTTACATGCATTGCGCGTAAATGTACGATGTATAGATACAGCACGTTCAGAACAGCAAATAGGATGAAAAATATGACAAACGTTAAACGTGACTATAAAGGAAAGAACTTTCTGTTGCAAGACATGACGTGCGAACTAAAATAATTTGAGAGTATGAATATGAGTGCAAAAGTATTGGTAGAGAATGTTAGAATGTTTAATTAAGTCAAGAGTGTTTTTATGGAATGTATGTAGAATTGATTAGTTTCATTGAATGTAAAAGATAAACGAAAATTAGAAAAACGAAATACAGTCCCAGTGGTTTGTTGACTGAAGCAACGAGGGGAAAGTTCTTATAGTCTAACCGAATTGTGCGAAGGATTTACAACACTTTTTTCGATCTAAACGTCGAAGGTCTGCCTATATTTTTCAGGTAGTTGCATCATAGATAGTTTTATGATCCGTGGTTGAATCTTTCTCAATTTCTTCTACACATTGGTAGCTACTGTACATACAGTAGTCTAGAAAGCTTACATGGCGAGGTATGTTTCCGCTATGGTAACTATCATCTTCGCACATGGCATAAATTGCGTCCACATACATATACATGCTCCAGTTCGACTTATGTTAAGCTGCATGGAAAACAAAGCTGACAAACTGTAACTATTGCTTTGAAAACGTCCAATATCGTATAAATAATAATAAAATAAACTTGCTGTCCAGTCATTGTCTGATCGCTTTTGCCGTGCAGTTTTGAGTACCTAAACTAAACATTATCTCTACACAATTGCTGTATCGATTGACCAATCACAGATCGTATAATTCCACATGACCAGTCATAAAACCTTTTGGTCGCAGATTCTCCATTGCATATTAATCAATAGAATCTGCACCAAGGTACAGGCTAAGTTAGAAAAGGCTCCGATGCAATTTCCTGATATTTTTGTATTTGACAACAACATATTAAGAAACACTATACCTATTAAGAACACTTTCATTTTGGAAATGATACGATACGCTGTTTTTATCAACGCTGCCAGACATCATTGCATCTTTCCCGATTATCGAACCATGCCACAAGCCAAGTACTCCTCTATCATAAAATACTACCACATGGATGAAGGTATCATGACGAGAAAAGGAATAATGAAATGTTATTAGCTTCTTGGTCGTGCCATTCAATTTGATCAGTCTAGGATCTTGTCCTGTCACACTTGTAAAACTTACACCTTTCTCTTCCAAATCGTGCAATACCTGCAAAAAATTTAACAAAGAATAACTATTCAACTTTCTCCACAGAAAGGATGGAACACATGAAAAAGCATGTTGAATTCTGAGCTTGTTGTTCGTTATTGAACATTAAAACTTTTAGTTGAATATTAAATGTGACGTGATCGTGGTCATTAAACAGACATGTATCTAAAAGGAGACTGTCCTTCGCGAGTCTTCATATTAGGGAGGCTGCCAGAGATTATTACATCAGTCATTCAGCATGACGGCAGAGGTTGGGTAGCCGTGGAGCGACGCTATCTCCATAGTCCAACTCCAAATTCTAAATTGTACACTTTAAAACAAGTTGAACTAAGACTTCTGAAGTAACAGACCAACCTCAGCAATCAGATGGAGGCAGTAGAGTTAGCTACACTTGGAGTTACTGGCACGGAATATCCTACGCTACCTCCACATACAATAGGCAATTCCAGCTTTTAGTTTATGCGTGCAGGGGACGACGGGAAGTAAGGTATCACATTGCTGATTATGCTGAAAAAATAAAAATGGTGGCCGTGTAAACACGGAGTGGTAGCTTATACTTGTAAATATTGAAACATTTCGGTTGTTTCGGTAGTTTTTATTGAAATTTTCAGCATAATCAGCAATATGATACCTACTTCCCATCATCCCCTGCAGGCAAAAACTAAAAGCTGGAATTGCCTATAAACTCTGTAGGGAGGTTCAACAAAATCAGAGTGCAGAATGGAAGATAAACAACATACACGTGCATTCAAACCATCTGGATTCAAACTGGATTCAAGCACACCAAGTGTGATTAAAGGTTTTTGACAAAGATGGCGGCAATCTCCTCTTTGATCTTCACTTGCTTCGTCTTGGACACTCTTCAGCACAGTGGGATCAATGAGAAATGTTGGAACACGATTCACAGAACATGTTTCAAGGAAATCATCAAGGAGAGTCTAGGAAATATTCATTTCGTTAATAATTCAAAACAAAAGTTAATAATTCAAAACAAACCTAAATATTTTTACCAATGTTACTCTGAGTGTGAAATTCTGTGGACAAAATTCGGATGTTTCTAGGCAAAATATCAATATCTACCGCTATAAACAGTAATTGTAGGGTCATTTCAATTTAGATAGTAAGAAATACAGTATATTAGAAAGTCGACTAAAAGTTCTCGGTTTGCCTTCTCGCGATATTCATGTTTGTCCATAACAACAATGAGTCCCAAACATAAAACAAAACAGCAGACCGTACTTCATCAAAACTGTAATCGTTTGAGCGCCGTCCCGAACAAGCTAATTTTCAATTAAATTTGTATTTATTCATGGGAAAACTGAATTGTCATCAAACATTATCGAACTTTTTTCACGAACCAAAGGTAAAGATCGCAAATGATATTGTGTGAACCGGAAGTGCAGTTGCAGGAATATTACTAAAAGTTCAAAAATTAAAATGCTAATAAATGTTAGTGGCTAGTGAAATGATGAATATCAATGAAAGTCCTTCCACTTTGAGGGACATCTCCGTTCATAAGGCTTTAAATTTTACAAAAACGTCTTGTATCAGATCACACAAATACATCTTTAAACTGAATTTCGCGGAATTCCGCGATTTAAACTGAATTTCGCGATTTTTGGACGATCAAAGCACGGACGAACTGCGTGAACGTACGTAGCAGGCGATGGGGCAGGAATCAGGGATTTCATCAAAATACCAGCGAGTAAATGTATTAATTAAGTATCTTTGTCTATAATGAACATGAAAGTTGACCAATAAGTCCTTGAAATGTTACAAAATAGACAGACCCAATATCATACAATGGCAAAAAAGAAAAAAATTATGAAAATGAGTAATTAACTTAAATTAAGATACAGTTGTTACAGCTGTAGAACCATTTATAAGCTAATTATTTAATTAATTTCTTTATAAAATATGATATTTACATACTAGTAGATTCTGTTGTACAGTGTCCACATCCTTTTGTGTATATTCCCTTGAAATCAAACTAGGGATTACGCTACCAAGAATGCTCTATATAAAAAAATATAAAAAGACTCATATCACAATGAGTGTAGGAACTAGGAAAACTAGGAGAAATATGTGAATACTGTATTAATAGCCGTACAACTAGAGAGATTTAACCATAACAGCACCAACATCATCAACATCCACAGTGGAAAATTTGGCACTTTAACAGATCTCCTGCCACAGGTTAATGTCAGAAATTGCTGCTGCAGCAGAATTTTGCAGCAGAAAAAACTAAAATTTCTGTGGGAGATTTTGTGGCAGTTAAACTGTAAAACAAGCGGTATAGTAAGCTGGCGATGACCAAATTTGTCAGACTGCAAAGTGTGGCTTTTTTTGCCAAGATCTTGGGTGTGCAAATGAAAAATGTCAAGTGTGCAAGTGTGCAGACTCAAATGAAGTGTGCATATTTATAAAAAGGGTGTTTAATAATCAAAATAATAGCTTCTTTTCTTTGTTTTTAATAAAATTCGTCCAATATAAACACGCCATCTAACAATTACAAAAAATGTTAAAATATTACTATTATTACTATTATTATTATTTAGTTATTAACCATTTGCTCATTAATCATGGCGATTCTGAAATATAGTAATTCTTGTGTGTGCCAGTATGGAAAGTTCGAGTGTGCCAGTATGGAAAGTTCGAGTGTGCCAGTATGGAAAGTTCGAGTGTGCCAGTATGGAAGGTTCGAGTGTGCCAGTATGGAAAGTTCGAGTGTGCCAGTATGGAAGTTCGAGTGTGCCAGTATGGAAAGTTCGAGTGTGCCAATATGGAAAGTTCGAGTGTGCCAGTATGGAAAGTTCGAGTGCGCCAGTATGGAAAGTTCGAGTGTGCCAGTATGGAAAGTTCGAGTGTGCCAATATGGAAAGT